CCCCAAAACCCCAAAACCCCAAAACCCCAAAACCCCTTAATATTTGGATTTTTTTGAAACCTTGTAATATTAAATAACCACTCACTACAAAAATGGACGGTAAGTACCCCTCCCAATCCCTCTTCCCCACCCACTTCCCCACTTCCTCTTTCATTCTAGACCACTCGATCAGTTCCGACGACTCAATAGCCGACTCTTACGACGCTGAAGGGAACTACATCGGCAAGAAGGAAAAAGTCAACAGGAAGGAAGAAGCACTGTACGGGGAATTTTTAAGACACTCGCCTGATAGAGAACAGAGAAAGAGAGGAAGGAGTAAGAAAGAAGCTGATTATACTAAGCCTGTGAAGTATGTTAGAGGAGAAACATTGGTCAATAAAGCGACACGTGAGACGATGGTAAAACCTGGGGTAAAGAAGAAAGTAGAGGTGAGTAAGGAAGAAGATGATGAACAGAGAAAAGAGAAATTTAAGAAACAAATGCAAGAAATGCCTACTTTGTTTGGGAAAGGGGGAAGTAAGGCAGATGTAAGCCAGACTATTGAAAATCAACGCCTTAAACGTGAAGAGAAGAAATATGAAATGTATGGGAAAGGACATAAATTCTTGAAGAATATGGGATTCACTGCGGATCAGCATATTGAAATTGTGCATGCTGTTAAGAGACAAAATGGACTTGGACTAGGAGCGAAAGATCCTAAAGGGAAACAGCATAATCCTGATTTAGAGAGAGGCAGAAAGGGATTTGAGTATGGCCAAGATGGAGGGGTTAACAAGACAAAGAAACCGGTAACAGTTCCTAAGGAAGCAAAGCCAAATGATAAGGAATTTCTCCAATTTCTGATGAAGACAAGTCAAGAAACTTCAAAACAGAAAGTAAAGCGAGCTAGGAATACTGAAAATGAGTTCTCTGCTGAAAATTTTATGAAAAATAGTCGGGTCGTGAATCAATTAAATCTCATTGACGAGACTGGAGGTCATGCAAATGCTATATTTTCAAAAAGTAGTTATAAAGATGATCAGTCAAGATACCAAGGTAGTGCATTTAGCTTCTTTTCAAACCAGTATAACCATTATCTAGATCAGCCTGATGGAGTTTTCCTCGAGTCAGACCGGCAAGAATCCAAGAAACCTTTGACCAAGAGGATGCAGATTTTTGAGAAATACAACAGACAGAAAGAATTGGTCAAGAGTAAACTTCAGTCTTGTATAAATAAGAAAGAATTTGCTAATTCTTTACTCATAACGATGGACCATGAACAAGCAACCTTAATTCAGCAGATAAAGGAAGAGGAGGAATCCAAGGCTCATTTGGTGGGTTATAAACAGAAACTTGACACGCTCCTTGAGAAGGCACAAAATAGCCATGATCTTATTGACTCGTTCAAGCAACTTTACTTAGATACTTTTCAAGGCAAAAAGAAAGGAGCAGAGGGAAGTAAATACTGAAAAGTAGATTTATTTGACCTGGAGCAGTTCAGCCTCGCAACAATGCTGTGCAAAATTCTTTGTCACACACTTGGCAAAGAAGCGAAACAGGTGGACTTCTTAACCCAGCCTCTTATTTTATTCGATACTGTAGCTAGCTTTAGAGAATTTTTACTTAAAATTCTTGAAGATAATATATCCAATCTTGAAGGTGAGGAAGCAGATGGGTTATTTGGCTATTCTAGTCTACAAGAGAAAGAACTTGCCAATGGCAAACAGATCATAGGAGCTTATCTCACAATTCTATTGAAGGATACACTATATCACAATTTGAGGCAGTTTATTTCAGTCAAGTGGGATCCTGTAGAGGAGATCCATCTAATAAATTTCTTTGAGAAATGGTCTAATCTGATCCCTCTCAGGTTATACAATCATATTCTATCGTCATATGTGATTCCAAAATTGAAGCAGGAGATGGACAAAATTGATTCTAAGCAAGCCATATCTCACTCGTTCTTTGACTGGGTATCTCCTTGGGTGGATATACTTGACAAGAATTCACCAAAAGATGCTCAGACCTTCAGAGTAGCTATCAGGCTAAAGCTGGTCCAGTTTATGAAAGAATGGTCTCCTTCAAACAATGAGCTCACCAAGGAGATTCAAAAGTGGAGGAAGCTGTATGATGATAACAACTGGAAGAGCTTGGTATCAGCTGTTGTTGCTAAGCTAGCTTATCACCTTAAGAAATTGAAAATAAATCCTCAAAACCAGAAGATAGAGCCAGTTAGCTGGGTCTTGAAGTGGTCCTCTCATCTTGATACCAAGACTATGTGCACTATTTTCAGAGAAAATTTAATCCATAATTGGGTTAAGACGTGAATTAAATGGGCAGAAATGCCAAATGCAGATTTTGCTGAAATCATGGAATGGTATCAGGGATGGAAAGGACTGCTACCTGCCAAGGTTAGAGAAGATCCAGAGATCCAGAATTACTTCAAATGCGCACTGATTTATATAAACTCTAGGATTTAATTCAATAGATATATGGCTTCTTGGGGTTTTGGGGTTTTGGGGTTTTGGGGTTTTGGGG